AACAACCGCTTTCTCACCTCTCCTTGGTCCTTAAATCCAAACATTGTCTAAGTTTATCTCATCATCAGCTGAAAGCTTACCCTCCCCCTCTTGAATTACAACGTCCTCGTTGATCTTTGGAGTAACCGTAGGTGCAAGCTCTTTCCCACTCCTTAGCGTAATAGCATTGGCGTATTCCTTGGGATTCTGCTCACAATTGCCCGGTAAGCTATTCTGACCGCTTGTACTGACATTTCCCTTCTCTAGCTGCTTGATCTTGTTATTAAAGTTTGTAATCTGAGTAGAGAAATCCGTGAGAGACGAGTCTTAATGAGTGTTCATCTCGGAAAACTTCTGATTTGTAGATGCTTGCCCTTGGATCAATTGTTGAAACATAGGTTGGACAGGATCAACTTGTTGTTGTTGCATTGGTTACTGTTGAGGTACCAAGCCCGGAGGATACATTGGCGTATAACCCTTGTTTCTTTGCTGTTGTCCTTGGAAGTTATTCTGCCCTTGCCCTTGGAAGCCACCACTCGGCTGAAAATCTTTGTTGTATGGTACGAAAGGCTTTTCTTGCTGAGCAGGGTACACTTGATCCTTATCTTCTAAACCCTAAATTGAATCCCTAAGTCTACCCTTTTCCTAAACTCTAACCCATCTTCTTCTTCATGGCTGGGAAAACTTCTTCTTTTTGCTTGTGTGGTTGCTTCCTTTTTGTTTTTTGGTGACTTGCTCCTTTTTGTTGATTAGGCGCCATTCTTCACCTTTGGTGGATTGTCTTTGGTCTGATTTCTTCTTCTGATTGCCCCTTTCATAGCATTGTTGTTGGCGCCTTCCTTCTTTAAACACTTAGAGATTTTTATCATTTTTGCGCTTAACCACAATTCTAGCTTGTTCCCCCATACTACCATTCGATACTTCTTTCTCTTCTTTCTTTAAAAGACAAAACTGTAAAGCTCAAACCACTTACACTACCCATCCCAAAACTCCTAACATAATATCAAGCTCAAGATGCAAGCTGGTGTCTACAAGAGAGCTCATCCTTGCCAGCCTTCTCCTAACGCCTTTTGCCTTGATAGAATCGAAATTAATGCAGTGTAAGGACTCACAACTCTCACAATAGTGTTTAAGATTAGAAAGAAGGATTGGGTTAGGGTGTGGTCAACTGTCCCATAGTGATGAGGATCAGCTACTTGGGTTAACAAGAGTGGTAAGAAGGAAAGAAGATAACCCAAGTATGTATATGGGTAGCCATGTGATCACTCTCAATGCATAAACATGATAATTAAATATCAACATTATGGTTCTAATAGACAGAGATGACGTCAAATAAAAGCAGGCTTCCGCATAAGTAGAGGATATCAATGCAAGTAGTCAAGATATGGTGCAGCCTTAACTTCAAACTCACTACCATGCATTCAAACAACAGACAACCAAAGCATTGAAAACAACTCAAACATTAACACCTTGACAAGTGTTTATCATCTACTCCCTATGCAAGTGCATGGAAACCTATATGAAATGTTTCTAGACTCTATCTTAGTTATGCAAATGCAACTAAATGATCTTTTTGATTCCAAAATTTTTGAAAATTTAGATGAATTCATGAATGCATGGGACTCAAGTATAAAAAAGAGAAAATAAGAAAACAGAACACAATGTCAAATGCAATGCCCTCCCCCACACTTAAATTACACAGTCCTTTGTGTAATAGAAGCTTGAAGGAGGGTGATAAAGGATACTCAGAAGGATTGAGAAGGAGAGGAGTGGAGTTGTGTATCTTAAAAGGAGTTTTGGCAGAGTGGGGGTATGTATCGATCTCTCCTGATCGATACATAATGATCGATGGAGTCACCAAAGTTATCTGCTGGATCCCATCGGTCATGTTTGGTCGATGCACCGGATCGATACCCTACTCGATTGATTCCCATCGATCAAATTTGATCGATAAGGTTGATCGATGGAAACCCTGCAGGCACCTTTTTCCCTTCATCGATCACTTTTTATCGATGGAGTTGCCCGATGCACCTTTAGCTCTGCACATTTGACAGATAGTCATGACTGATAGGCCTGTATCGATCCGGATTGATTGATACAAGTGATCGATACTAGCCAGAATGCATATGTTTTTGTTTCCCCCAAACACCTTCTAACAACTTGCCTTAAACCCCACTTGCTCCTGTTATTGAAAGAAAAACATAAAGACAAACATAAAATGCAATAATATGTACAATGATAACAGGGTAATACCTCCCAAGTGTGCTTGTTTAACGTCTTTAGCTTGACTTTCCTTAGTTGATCACTCTTGTTGAGGATCCTCAAGGTTGATGTCTGCATTATCTCCCAGGGATTCACTTTTGGTTGATGTTAACGTATGAGATATCAACACCCACACAATTGCCTTTTGGTTGTCCTCAAGTAAATTAGAACAGATGGGAGAGTGAGGTGGGATCTCAAAACTCTAGATGCCAGTGGAAAAATTGAATCAATGCTCAAGTTATAGGTTCTAAAATGCAAAAAGATTGTTCTACTTCAAAAGCTTTAGCCATACATATCATAGAAAACAATGCACTCTAGCTTAGCCTACACAAACATTAAAATCAGCCAATTCTTTAACATTCATTAATGGTAACCAGTGGATCTGTGTTATGCAAGTCAAGTGAACACATTTGGTTGAAAGTACAAGGTCATGAGATAAAAATGATCTCATTCAGATATGGGTTAAAGACATAAGGGATCACTTAGTGAAATGACTCAATCTTATGCAAAATGCTAAAGGTAAAAGCACACACATGCATGCAAGTCACAGCTCTCTTCTACCCTTTTTACCCAAAGATGAACCTATTATCTTCTAAACCCCAAATTGAATCCCTAAGTCTACCCTTTTCCTAAACTCTAACCCTTCTTCTTCTTCGTGGCTGGGAAAACTTCTTCTTTTTGCTTGTGTGGTTGCTTCCTTTTTTTTTTGGTGATTTGCTCCTTTTTGTAGATTAGGCGCCATTCTTCACCTTTGGTGGATTGCCTTTGGTATGATTTCTTCTTCTGATTGCCCCTTTCCTAGCCTTGTTGTTGGCGCCTTCCTTCTTTAAACACTTAGAGCTTTTATCCTTTTTGCACTTAATGATATTACCATATATTCTGCATATTTTACATGCATTTAGTATAGTTTTTCATGCATTCATCTTGCAGTACAGGATAGTTTCTTCCATTTGTTGCATTTTAGGTCTTAGGTCCCTTTTCATTCGCATTTTGCATATTTCTTGCATAAATGCATCATTATCAGATTGTTTGGGGCACTCTCGAGTTGAGGAGGTTATGTGGACGTGAGGAGGATCACAATAAAGCTCGTGGACACTTGGAGAACTTAGCTCGACATGCGAAGTACTCGAGATCGAGTAGCAGATCGAGCAAGGCAGGTCGATCTAGATGTGATCGACCAGAAGATCGAATAATCCAAGTCGATTCAGGAGGAGGGATCGGGACCAAGATCGAGAGAGGAGATCGATCTGGAGTACGGACGTGAATGACGCCATCCAGATCGAGAGCTAGATCGAGTTTCCAACCCGATCATCACAGGATCGACTCAAAGATCGACCGAAGCCATCCGATCCAAGACCGTTTGGAGCTGAAATGTTGTTTTCTTGGTCTGCATGTGATGAATTTATAGTTATGGAGATGATCAATATGAAAAGTGGTAGGTAGTGTTTTGGAATATTCATTTTGATTTAATGAATAGAAGAAAGTGTAAAAACGTGATGTTAGTTATAACTGTTGGATGAGTTATATATATTGTATTGTGTTCTAACACAATTTCCACGATTATTTACACTTCTTTCCATAAACATTATATCATAATATTCCTGTCCTATTAAATGTAGTCAAAAATATTCATTGCTGTCTCCAAAAAATAATGTTTATTGTGGTGCATGTAGTCATGTAAAGAGTGAATTAGAAATGTTGCTATGATTGGTAAGATAAGTTCACATTGATTTAATTTGAATTAAGAGAATTACTCAAAAAAATATTACCAATCAACAATCAAGCTAAGTGATGATAATCTATGGTTGATTTACAATTTTCAGTTACCTTTTTTTGTAAAATTGCTAAATCAAAAAACTTAATGCAAAATCATAAAAAAAATGATAAACAAGAATTGAGTTGGCCATATTGTTTTCCCATTTCTCTTTTGTTTTGAGTATTATTTTCTTTTCAATTTAATTTAAATAATTATGTGTTTTCAATTGTTTGTATCAATAGAATTTTGCATAATTTTAATTTGGTCAACTAATTGGATTTAGTATAATTTTATTTTATTTGGTCAACTAAATGCAATAGTTATGCGTTTCCACTTTTTTGTCAATAAAACTTTGAATAACTTTTTTACTTGTTTCCACTTATTTGGTCAATTAGTTTCATTTAAATATCATTTCATTTTATTTATTTTAACTTATATTTTTAAAAAAAACTTTGTGTAACATTTTTACTTGGTAAATGATTTTTAACCTGGTTTAATTTGAAATTTGTTTATTTAAATTATTATTAATTATTTAGTTTACATTTCTTATTAATCTTAATTTTACATTTATTTTATTTTATTAATACATACTCCAAATTATACAATATAAGATTTACCAATCAATTGTTTTGACAAAATAGTAATCTATAATCTTAGCAAATTTACTGTATAAATCTAAAGTTCTTATTCACTTTGGACATAAACAAACCAAAAAATAAGACGCTAACAATTTCATCCTTTGTAATGTCTTTCTCTCTAGACTTGCCATCACGATAACCAACATTTCTTACAGTGTTTTCCATCGTATTTTTTCATTCTTTCTTTTTTATTTAGTTTACAGATTATTTAAATCAACGCAAGTAAATTAATCCCCTTAACTTGTTCAAGCCTACAAACCCCATGCTTTTTGAGAAAAGACTTTAGAATATATTATGTGGTCATTATTTTATTATTATTATGTGAAAGTTCAAAACATTACAAGAAGCATACAATTTTTTCTTGGTTAAATCTCTTTCAATGATTTATTCCAAGGATAACAACTATCAAACTGCTTAGATACATCGTTAAACCTGCAAGGCCCGGTTTGTCTTATCTTCCACACACACTTTTGACACCAATTATCGCCAGAACTTTCACGGTGGTCTCTGTATATGTCGAACCAATGCCGTCCATTTGGCAACTCGAAACTACAATAAAACAATGTTCTTCCAAAGAACTGACGCCAGAATTTAAACAACCACGACTGACCAAATTGCAAACTCTGGTTACCAAAATAATCGTCTTTTAATTTATAATGATACAGTAACGTTTGTTTGTTGCCGAGATCGTTGATGATTTGCACAGTTATTTTCCCGAAAGGATTAAAAATAGATTTTGTTGATGATGGACCGTTTGGAGCTGAAATGTTGTTTTCTTAGTTTGCATGTGATGAATTTATAGTTATGGAGATGATCAATATGAAGAGTGATATGTAGTGTTTTGGAATATTCATTTTGTTTTAATGAATAGAAAAAAGTGTAAAAACGAATAGAAGAAAGTGTAAAAACGTGATATTAGTTATAACTGTTGGATGAGTTATATATATTGTATTATATTCTAACACAATGTCCACGATTATTTACACTTCTTTCCATAAGCATTATATCTCAATATTCCTGTCCTATTAAATAAAGTCAAAAACGTTCATTGCTGTCCCCAAAAAAGAATGTTTATTGTGGTGCATGTAATCATGTATAGAGTGAATCAAGAATGTTGTTATGATTGGTAAGATAAGTTCACATTGATTTAATTTGAATTAAGAGCATTACTCAAAAAAATATTACCAATCAACAATCAAGCTAAGTGATGATAATCTATAGTTGATTTACAATTTTCAGTTATCTTTTTTGTAAAATTGCTAACTCAAAAAACTTAATGCAAAATCATAAAAAAAAAATGATAAACCAGAATTGAGTTGGCCATATTTTTTTCCCATTTCTCTTTTGTTTTGAGTATTATTTTCTTTTCAATTTAATTTAAATAATTATATGTTTCCAATTTTTTGTATCAATAGAATTTTACATAATTTTAATTTGGTCAACTAAATGGATTTAATATAATTTCATTTTATTTGGTCAACTAAATGCAATAGTTATGCGTTTCCACTTTTTATCAATAAAACTTTGAATAACTTTTTTACTTGTTACCACTTATTTGGTCAACTAGTTGCATTAAAATATCATTTCATTTTTTTCTTTATAACTTATATTTTTGAAAAACTTTGTGTAACATTTTTACTTGGTAAATGATTTTTAACCTGGTTTAATTTGAAATTTTTTTATTTAAATTATTATTAATTATTTAGTTTACATTTCTTATTAATCTTAATTTTACATTTATTTTATTTTAGTAATACATTCTGCAAATTATACAATATAAGATTTACCAATCAATTGTTTTGACAAAATAGTAATCCAGAATTCTTAACAAATTTACTGTATAAATCTAAAGTTCTTATTCACTATGGACATAAACAAACCAAAAAAGAAGACGCTAACAATTTCATCCTTTGTAATGTCTTTCTCTCTAGACTTGCCATCACGGTAACCAACATTTATTACAGTGTTTTCCATCTTATTTTTTCCTTCTTTCTTTTTTATTTAGTTTAGAGATTATTTAAATCAACGTAAGTAAATTAATCCGCTTAACTTGTTCAAGCCTACAAACCCCATGCTTTTTTGAGAAAAGACTTTAGAATATATTATGTGGTCACTATTTTATTATTATTATGTGAAAGTTCAAAACATTACAATAAGCATACAATTTTTTCTTGGTTAAATCTCTTTCAATGATTTATTCCGAGGATAACAAATATCAAACTGCTTAGATACATCGTTAAACCTGCAAGGTCCGGTTTGTCTTATCTTCCACACACACTTTTGACACCAATTATCGCCAGAACTTTCACGGTGGTCTCTGTATATGTCGAACCAATGCCGTCCATTTGGCAACTCGAAACTACAATAAAACAATGTTCTTCCAAAGAACTGACGTCGGAATTTAAACAACCACGGCTGACCAAATTGTAAACTCTGGTTACCAAAATCATCGTCTTTTGATTTACAATGATACAATAACGTTTGTTTGTTGCCGAGATCGTTGATGATTTGCACAGTTATTTTCCCGCAAGGATTAAAAATAGATTTTGTTGATGATGGACTGTTTGGAGCTGAAATATTGTTTTCTTGGTTTGCATTTGATGAATTTATAGTTATGGAGATGATCAATATGAAGAGTGATATGTAGTGTTTTGGAATATTCATTTTGTTTTAATGAATAGAAGAAAGTGTAAAAACGAATAGAAGAAAGTGTAAAAATGTGATGTTAGTTATAACTGTTCGATGAGTTATATATATTTATTGTATTCTAACACAATGTCCACGATTATTTACACTTCTTTCCATATGCATTATATCCCAATATTCCTGTCCTATTAAATGTAGTCAAAAACGTTCATTGCTGTCCCCAAAAAAGAATGTTTATTGTGGTGCATGTAGTCATGTATAGAGTGAATCAGAAATGTTGCTATGATTGGTAAGATAAGTTCACATTGATTTAATTTGAATTAAGAGCATTACTCAAAAAATATTACCAATCACCAATCAAGCGAAGTGATGATAATCTATGGTTGATTTATAATTTTCAGTTATCTTTTTTGTAAAATTGCTAACTCAAAAAAATTAATGCAAAATCATAAAAAAAAGATGATAAACAAGAATTGAGTTGGCCATATGTTTTTCTCATTTCTCTTTTGTTTTGAGTATTATTTTATTTTCAATTTAATTTAAATAATTATGTGTTTTCAATTTTTTGTATCAATAGAATTTTGCATAATTTTAATTTGGTCAACTAAATGGATTTAATATAATTTCATTTTATTTGGTCAACTAAATGCAATAGTTATGCGTTTCTATTTTTTTGTCAATAAAACTTTGAATAAATTTTTTTACTTGTTTCCACTTATTTGGTCAACTAGTTGCATTTAAATATCATTTTTTTTTTTTCCTTATGACTTATATTTTTGAAAAACTTTGTGTAACATTTTCACTTTGTAGATGATTTTTAACCTGGTTTAATTTGAAATTTTTTTATTTAAATTATTATTAATTGTTTAGTTTACCTTTCTTATTAATCTTAATTTTACATTTATTTTATTTTAGTAATACATACTGCAAATTATTCAATATAAAATTTACCAATCAGTTGTTTTGACAAAATGGTAATCTATAATTCTTAACAAATTTACTGTATAAATCTAAAGTTCTTATTCACTTTTGGACATAAACAAACAAAAAAACTGGACATAAGTGTTGTATAATTTGGGTTTGTTTAGCCAATATAACTCGAACGGTTCTTTTTCAAATCTGCTTCGATTTTCTATTCAGTTGGGATAATACATAAGATCTGAAAAACTAAACCTAATTATCAGATTATCACTGATTATATTATTTGTATCATATATATAATTTGTATAACTAACCGAATGATTAATTAAATTCTTCCAAACATTCAGGTTATTTCTAATTGGGTTTGGATAACAACCATATTGTCACTAATTACATTATTTTGTATCATAATTAATCGAATAATTATTCTGTTTCCAGATAATTTTGATTATTTCCCAATCCAGGTTTTTTTGGTTTTTTAACAATTCTTTTTTCAAATCACACTATAAACTTAAGAGGATCCGATCCGAATTGAAAAAATTTGAGTTTTATATGGATCCAAAACAATGAAATCCAAAACATCAAATTACAACATACACTGTAACTCAACATTAAAATTAAATGTTACGAATCAGAACCCAAATTAAAAGGTGATGCAAACTAATTCTTGTTTTAGCAAAGTGAAAAACCGAAAGTGTTAGTTTTCATTTTTGGAGTCATTATTCATAGTTTCAAAATTTTTATCACATAATTTAACTATAAGTTAAATCAAGTTACAACATATATTTTCAATTCAACTATAAAATTACATATTACCAATCAGAATCTGAGTTAGAAAGTGATACAAACTAATCCTTGTTTTAGCAAAATGAAAACCGGAGTATTATTTAAAGAAAATCTTATATTAGTAGTTTTTTTTGTCGACTTCTTATAGTTATGAACATCAATTTCATAAATTCTACCAGATTCTGTTTTAATGGATCGATCTAATGAGAAACAAGATTTATGTATGCTTTAGTGTTTATTATTATTATTATTTAAAAGTGCAAACCATTATAATACGCATACATTTTTTTATGATTACATCTTGTTACAATGATTTATTCCAAGAATAACAAATATCAAACTTCTTAGATACATCGTTAAACCTACAAGGACCAGTTTGTCTTATCTTCCACACACAATTTTGGCACCAATTATCGCTGGAACTATCTCGGTGGTCTTTATATATGTCGAACGAATACCGTCCATTTGGCAACTCAAAATTATAAAAATACAATATCCTTTACGCTGTAATCTAAACGACCACGACACACCCAATTGCAAACTCCGATTACCAAAATCAGTATCTTTTGATTTACAATGATAGAATAATGATAGTGTATTACCGAGATCGTTGATGATTTCAACAGTTGTTGTCCCGAAAGGAAGAAACGCAGATTTAGCTAAAATGTTATTATCTTCGTTTGCATGTGATTATTTTGTAGTTATGAAGACAATCAATATGAAGAGTGGTGTGTATTGTTTTGGAATATTCATTTTTTCTTGAATAGAGAAGATAACGTAATTTAACTTAATGTTATTTGTAACTGTTGGATGAGTTATATATTATGTTATAATACAGTGTCGATTTTTATTTACACTTCTTTCCTTAAAAATAATGTCTGAATATTCATTTTTAATCCTCTATATATTAATTGAGAAGCATTTTAAAGAGTAACCTCATTTTTGTAAGTATTTACAGTGGTGGCATTATGCTGATGTGTCAATCTCACACTCATTTTCACCTAATTATTTTTAAAAGACTTAGATTACTAGACTAATTACATAAAATGCCATTATATATTTTAGGTCCATACATATATTATGTTTTATTTTATAAATCAACATTTAATTTATTAAGATATTCTTTTTCTTTTATTTCTTACCAAAAATAAATCATATTAATTATTTCTTTAATTACATTTTCTACCAAAAATCTATTTTTCTCTTATTTTCATTTAAACTTACTTTTGTAAAGTAAATAAATTATCACATCATCCATATAATGAAACAATATATATTTTGTACACGTATTATAATTTGAATTTTAAAAATTGAACATAAATTACTGAAATTATTAATAAATAAATATAAATAATTATAATTTGAGTTCATTATAATTATTATAAAAGTTGATTGTAATTTGAGTTCATTATAGTCATTATAAATAAAAATATAATTCGATTTAATTAACTCTTTCCAAAAGTAAATTCTTAATTAGCTCATAATTTAAACTCTTTCCAAATTTTAGTATACACTAAATAGTATTTAATATATAATATTATATAATTGTGAGCTAATTAAGAATTTATTAATAATTTTAATGAAAATGAAATTTATTGTGTTTGATATATGTTAATAATATAAGTAATATAATTTATGGTGCTTTCACTAATCTAATTTAGATATAAGTAATATATTAGTTCAAATTTATTTTGTTAATTTAGATATATATATTCAAAGATTTTGAGTAAAAACGATAGTGACACTTTTTCTAATAAGTAATCGATGTTTGAAACTTTTTTTGAGTAAAAAAATAATATATAAGATGGATAAACATCAATATTTTTATAGAAGCTAATTTTAATAAATACTTTTTGTCACATTATTTTTTATATAACCAATCTTAGCAAAAACGCATCAAAACTCTAACCATATTACATCTTAAATTTAATATTCTGCTTTATTATGTATACACTATACTCACAACTTACTATTTATCATATATTCAATTATGCTTTATTATTATATTTTAAATAATATTTTTTGATTAAATATTTTTGGAGTCAATAATTATTCTTTTCTTTTACAAAAAGATAATTTATGGATATAATTATTATTTTTCAAATTAAAAATATAAAAATTGTGTCTTTTTTTTAATTCATTCGATATAGTAGATAAGTAACAAACTATTTAAATAATAATATTTATTTTTTTATTTAAGAGTCAAAAGTAATTAAATATATACACAAATATTATACTAAATTTAAATAAATAATAATTATTTCATCCCGCACAGGTTGCGCGTTATTACCTAGTTAACTAGGTATATAATTCGCGCCACGCACGAGTCTGTACTAATAGTTTGGTTTAATTTTTTTTTAGCTTTTATCTTTAAAATTATTAAAACTATAATATATTTATAGAAATTTTTATTTATATAAGAGAATTTAATATATAATGTGTAAGTTTCTCCTATTTTTTATTTATAAATTTTAAAAACTATTAGATAAAATAATAACAATGACACCTATCAAATTATCTAACTTTGACGTACATATACATTTGATTTAGAAAAAGATTTTATTGCTAAGATTTTGGTATTATTTTC